AGCTGGTTTTGTTCAAATTCCTGCATGGGTTCATTCTTTTATGCATGAGCACATGCCTCGAATCTACAACACTTCGCAGCCTTACTCTCCTTGGAAATGAATCTGATCGCTTGGCACTGCTAGACTTCAAGAAAAGAATAACAGTTGATCCTTTCAATGTCATGAGCTCGTGGAATCATTCCATCCATTTCTGCAATTGGGTTGGAGTTTCATGCCACCATTCCACCAAAAGAGTCTTGATGTTGAACCTGAAATCAAAAAAGTTGGTAGGCTCCATTTCACCTTTAGTTGGAAATCTTACTTATCTTACTGGAATCAATTTGAGAGACAACAACTTTCATGGGGAAATTCCTCCAGAAATGGGTCGTCTACAAAGCCTACAATATCTCAACCTCTCTCATAATTCCTTTGGTGGGAAAATTCCAACTAATTTGTCGCAATGCATACAACTAAAATTGCTTAATCTGCAAGCCAATCGGATGATGGAGTCCATTCCAAACCAACTCAGTTCATTGTTGAATTTAAAATATCTACGGCTTGATGGTAACAATCTCACTGGAACTATCCCACCTTGGATAGGAAACTTTTCCTTGTTGAGTAGTCTAATACTTGGCAAGAACAATTTTCAAGGAAGCATACCCAATGAGCTTGGGCATATAGCAGGCTTGGAGGTGTTCGTAGTTGAGAAGAATGATCTATCTGGTATGATCCCATCCCCAATCTATAATATTTCTTCCATATCCACTTTTAGTGTTGCTGTCAACCAGTTGAATGGAGAGCTACCAACAAATCTCGGCACTATGCTTCCTAATCTCGTAGACCTTTACTGCGATGTGAACAAATTCACAGGAAATATTCCCATATCATTGTCAAATGCTTCAAGACTTCAGATGCTTGAACTTTCTCAAAATGGTTTCTCTGGGACAGTCCCTGGTGAGAGTCTAGGAAACTTGCATAGCTTAGTTTGGCTAAACTTTTATCGCAATCAGTTAGGAAATAGAAAAGTTGGTGACTTGAATTTTCTTAGTTTCTTGGCTAACTACACTAGTTTGCAGTATTTGAGTCTTTTCGATAATAATTTTGGAGGAGAAATTCCTGGATCCATAGCCAACCTTTCGACCCAACTTAATGTTCTTAGTCTGGGGGAAAATTTTATACATGGGATGGAAACCTTCCTAAGGGAATTGGAAACCTTATAAACTTGACTGCTTTAGTATTAGAAGATAACCAGTTGAGTGGCAGTGTCCCGCATGAAATTGGGAAGCTAGAGAAGTTAGAGGAACTGTATTTGGATTTTAACCAATTTTCTGGGCAGTATACCTCCAAGTCTTGGAAACTGCCAATACCTATTAGACCTTAACCTTTCCAGTAACAACCTTACGGGCACCATACCTAAAATGCTTATGGAGCTTTCAACCCTTTCAAGTTCTCTAGACCTGTCTGACAATTATTTGACTGGTCCGATGCCCTTTGAGGTGGGTGATTTAGTGCATCTTACGGAGCTAAATGTATTAAGACAATTTATTAGGTGAAATCCCGAGCACCCTCGGCAGTTGTACTAGTTTGGAACGCTTGTGTTTGCAAGGTAATAAGTTTGAAGGAACAATTCCTCAATCTCTTAAGAATTTGAAAGGCTTGGAAAAACTTGATATTTCAAGCAACAACTTGTCTGGGCCGATTCCTGAATTCATAGGCAAGCTTGGTGCTCTCAAGTATCTCAATCTTTCGTATAATGATTTTGAGGGCGAGTTGCCTAAAGATGGTATTTTTGCAAATGCTAGTGGTGTTTCTATTCTTGGAAATCATAGGCTCTGTGGTGGAATCCCATAATTATATCTACCTTCATGCCCCCCAAAAAAACACCATTCATCTCGAGGACTACATTCCCCAAAAGTAGTCATCCCCATAACCTGTGTATTTGGAATCATAATTGCTCTATCATGTTGCTGTGGTGCTTGTTCAATGCTGAAAAAGTCAAGAGATAGACTTGCAACTTCACGTTCTTATAAGGATTGGAAATCAGGTGTCTCCTACTCACAACTCGTTCAATCAACTAACGGGTTCTCTACGGATAATCTTATTGGTTCGGGACGTTTTGGTTCTGTTTATAAAGGGGTAATTCCTAGTGATGGAACAATAGTTGCTGTTAAGGTACTAAACCTTCAACAACAAGGAGCTTCCAAGAGTTTCATAGATGAATGCAAAGCTTTAAGGAGTATAAGGCATCGTAATCTTCTCAATATCATAACTGCATGTTCGAGCTTTGATAATCAGGGCAAGGACTTCAAAAGTCTAGTTTTCGAGTTCATGGCAAATGGAAGTCTAGACTCAATGTTGTATCCAAGATGTGAGGAGGAATCTCCAAGCAAAAGAATGAGTTTTATGCAAAGATTGAACATCGCCATTGATGTTGCTTCTGCCTTAGATTATCTCCACCACCATTGTGAAACGGCCATTGTTCATTGTGATCTAAAGCTGAGCAATGTACTTCTTGATGAAGATATGGTAGCCCATGTTGGGGATTTTGGTTTAGCAAGGTTCCTCTTCGAAACATTAAATGATCCCACCTTCAGTCAAACAATGTCATCTCAGCTAAAGGGTTCTATAGGCTACATTCTTCCAGGTATGAGTTTCTGTCATTCTAACTTCCTTTTTATGTTCTTAGTAAATTATTACAAAAAAAAACCAACTGATTAATCTCTATTTATGAAAAATACATTACTGCCTCTTTTTTTCTTGAAAATAAGTAACATATAAATCTAAAGAAGATATTGTTCTAATAGTCAATTGCATACAACATATTGTATGTATGTCTTGGTAGAATATGGCACAGGAGGCCAAGTTTCCATTGTTGGAGATGTTTACAGCTATGGGATACTATTGTTGGAAATGTTCATAGGAAAAAGACCTACCGATGACATGTTCAAAGATGGTCTAAGCATTTACCAATTTGTAGCCATGTCTTTGCCTGACCATGTTATGGACGTCGTTGACCATTCAATTATCATCGACCTCGAAGCAAATGGTAATGTCAACAATGACATAGTGCGAGAACGAACTCCATCCAGACGTAACAATCGTGGCTCAGTGAAAGAAAAAAAAATAAAGGAATGTTTGGTTTCAGTAATGCAGATAGGACTCTCTTGTTGTGCAATGTCACCAAAGGAGCGGATGCTAATGGACTCAGTTGTTAGAAAAATGAGCACAATCAAAGACTCGTACCTCAAAGTTTAAGAAGACTTGAGAAGGACAAAGCATGCTGCTCAAAGGAGAAAGGACATGATCATTCATCAATAATATTTTCCACTCTCTACTCACCAAAATTTTCTTTCTGTTTTTGTTTTCTTTCTCTTGCTATCGCGTTTAATTTTGTCTTGTTGATGTTTGCGGTGTGTTTTACTTACATGACTTAGAGCTTTCAAATTTTGATTTGTATGGTACTTTTTAGAATTTTATTGATTAGTGGTTTTTTTTGGATAAAATTTATTTCTTATGTTCTTTGTTGATCAATGGCTAACACTGCAAAAAGTAGTCACAAACTGCTATTAGGTTTGATAGAATTTGCAAATGGTGCAAGGAGTGTGGATAGTAAGAACATTGCTAGTTACATTTTTCTTTAATCTCGGTATTTATTGTTATCGCTGCTCTAAAAGTGTTATTTTGCCATATTCATAAGTGAAAACATAAAACAGATTTTCACTTGTAAAGGAGAGAAGCAGAAAGTTGCATGATGGTGAGACCTTAACATTAAGGTTTAGAGCAAAAGGTCTGGAACGAAAGAGACGCTCAAGTTAGGAGCATTTTTTTGTTGTAGTTGAAGTTCTAGGTTCAATTTCCAACTCCATAAAATTGCTTGTATAAAACAAAACATTAAATTTAATATGAAAATTGCTAACATTTCTTACAATATGTTTTATTAGAAAAGAACATAATGATTTTTTCTGAAGTGTCAATAACAATTCTCAAAATATGTAGAATTGTCACTTAACTTCATAGTTAATAAATTTGCGTATAATATCCTTATTATATATGTATGTACATATTTTAACAAGTTTTATTTTCCGTACACGTATTAATGATTCGTTAAATTGTACGCTTTTTAAAGCTCCAACATACGATACCTATTTTTCACGTTTAAAACACGTTATTTTTACACGTTTTTCAATAATACATATAAAATTCACGCATTTTACCTATATTTTTAGTATATTATTGATTAAATAAATATTAAAAATTTATAAAAAAATATAGCCCAAATTTGTGAAGTATTATTTTAGTAAAGTTATACACGTCCGTATTTTTCACATACTATGCATTTTACTAACTATGCTTAGCTTTTGATCTTCTTTCTATTTTTACCACTTTCATTTTAGTTTTTGAGTCTTATCAAAACGTGGCAATTTACCCTCCCACCATAAAAATAAAAAATTATAAGATTAATGAAAAATGCCTCACGAACTTATTTTTATCCAGAAATATCTAATGAACTTTTTTTAATCATAAAGACAATTAAAAATTGTAAGAAGAAATAGTTGTTGATGACCCTAAACTATAACTTATTTACAATAAGGCTACCGCACCCAAACTAAACTCATTGATGATACTATCACCACTCTCCTCTTATTTTTGTCATTATCACTTATAGTAATTCATTAAGTGTTTTTTTTTTTTAAATTATATAAAGCCATTTTCATGAAAGTGAAGTTATAAAAATAAGATGTGCTATCCACACATCCTATTTTATTTCTCACATATTCCTTGATAATTTCTGTTCGTTGATCTTCTTCAATTCATCCGATCCAATAGCTAAAAATTAAAAAGATTTATGAGAAATAAAATGAAATATGTGAATATGATACCCCATAAAAATAAACACTTTTTAATCTCTTCACACGATTATCAATTGTTTTCGTTTGATTTATTAATCTGACTATCAAAATTAAAAAGAGTGAGAAGTCAGGTGAAAATCATCTACCCAATAATAAATAAGAAAAAAATTTGAAATTGTTGTGAATTTTTAATTGAACTTACAAGAAAACAAAACATTAACCATATCCGATTCTCTCTGTCAGCCAATCCCCCATTTGTGCTCTCATCTCTCATACAGTAGCAGCCCTTCATCCGAGTCCTCTCCAGCTATCTTCGGTAAGCTTTGGTCCTTTAGCTACTCGTTCTTCCTCTCTAGCTTTCGCGTATGTAGAAACTGCGCATTCGATTACCAGTTTTAGGGTTCCTTTTCTGTTCAATTCATGAATCGTTTCATCTATTTACACAGCCTTTTAAAATCCCACAATTTGTTTTCTGTGATGCGAATTAGGCAATATCGCAAGCGCCCAGAAGTTGAAAGAGTAACTAGAAATGAAAATTGGAAAAAATTGGATTTTTGTGGGTTTTTTGTGTTTTTGTACTAATGGGGCAATGAACTGCTTTTCATTGTGTTTTTGTGTTTTTGTACTAGAAATGAATTGGTGTTAAAAAAGTAAACCACTTTTACTTCTTTATTTTGTAGAGTTACCTAGCTCAAAAGTCTCTAGATGCACAGTTACAGAGAACTGGAGTGCTGGATTCTTCTGAAAGCATTTACATGTTTGCTGAAGATTATCAAACATTTAGAGCATGTATGAAATTCTTCATGTCATGTATCCCATTTTCATAAATGATCAGATGATGTCTGTAATGAAATTTTATCCTTACTCTGAACTCTGTTGCTTCAGTGTGGGCTGAGCAAGGTGATGAGATAAGCCTCGAGTATGCTGGCAATTATGCCCTGAAAGGGGACCTGGTTAGGTAAATTCAACCTAAAATATGACTTGATTCATGGCCAACATGTACTTATCCTTTTTTCAAATCATATTTTGGACCCATTTTACCGCAGATATGGGAAGCAGACATTTTGAGGAATAATCAAAGATGGGATTAGTGCTCTTTCAAGATACTATTTGAATAACTTTCAGGATGGCATTCGGCAGGTAATCTGCTCCTCTTTCTCAAATATTGAGTATTACTCATCTGCATGAAGGCGAGTGACGTCTAGTTGTTTATAGTTGCTTAAATTAAGTCTCAAATTTGTTCAGGATGCTATGGATCTTATCATTGGCTGCTATACAGTCAGAAGGGACACTTCAACATTCCGGGCTGAATCTTTTTCTGTAAGTATAATGAATCTTTCTGAGAAATTGAAGTGCCTGAATTCCATGTCTGCTTTTATCCTGCTGTTATAAGTTATTCAGATCCTGTTACAGTTGGTAGGACAAGAAAATCTTTTTTGGTTCATCTTCAAGGAACCTCAATATTTTAGTTTAAGATGGTTTGGGGAGTACTCTGACGGTTCAGTTGCATCTCTTGAAAGTAAATTTAGTAAGAAATCATGCCTACTCTAGCAAATACGAGCGCTATTAAATGGATATATTTTTAGTAACGAAAGGAAAAATAAAATTCAGTTCTGGCAAACTTGATGTTTCGTTGGCCAGCTTGGCATGTAATCATTGTTAGGTGGCTGAGAATGAAAGTAACTTGTGCCACTTTTAAAATGATACCACTGAAGCTATAGTCAAGTTTTAAACGTGAGAACAAACATTGCAGTTTCTACCGGTGGCATCAGCTTTGCTAATTGGAGGGTTGACACTGACATCTGTCACACTTCAGCAAGGTATTACTGTTATTTTGTTTTGCCTGAAGTCTTGTAATCCATGGAATTTTGTTCTCAATTGTGAGTTCTACTCGATCCACTAAGACATGATAAATTTTAAATCCTACTTGCAGCTGGTCGAAATGCCCAGCAATATATGTCTTCTGTCCTTTTGGCTCGTGTGACTGCTGGAGTAGCGGCAGTGGTGAAAGTTAACGGAAGGCAATTCTGTTCGAGACCTCGCTTGTGCAGAGTTGTGTAACATTATTCTGAACTCGTTCAAACGGTATTTTTCGAAAACTGCAAAATGTATTACTATGACGTTACTGTTGTTGCAAGCCTTGTAATTTATCAGATAAAAGACAATTTTTATGAGCGATTTATGGTTAAAATGGTAAACTTAAGTGCTGTTTCCGATTGCAGCCTCTATACTAACTGCTGTTTCCGATAGTATGGGTGTGTTTTGTTGGAAAATATTAGTATTTAGGTTTATTTTAGTATTTGGGTTTTGCTTATTAGTTTAGGATTTGGGCTTAGCCCATCCGAGTTAGGGTTTCGTAGGTTTAGTTCTCTATAAATATTGCTTGTAATTTAGTTTGAGAAAAAAATTAGTCACAATATAGTCTCTTAGGGTTTTGTAGCCGTTTCGGCATTCTCAGTTTGTTTAATAATATTCTTATTTTGTTAGTTTTGTTCATCGGGCACTCTGATATTCAACTTGGTATCAGAGCGGGTTCAATCCGTTCTCATTGGTATCAATTTGTTTGCCTTTGACGTCGTTCGTTTTAGATTTGTTAGTTGGTATTGATTGTTTGCAAGGAAAAGAAAAATGAAAGAAAAAAAAAAAGTTTTGCTTGCAGAGGAGAAGATCCCCCAAGCAAATAAAAAAAGGGGACGAAGGAGAAAAAAGAAAAGAAAAAAAGAACCACTGAGAGGAAGAAGGAAGAAAAAAATGGGAAAAAAAAGGAAGGAAAAAAATATGGTTGTTTTGTGGCCCATGTATTCTTGCATTGGGCATGATAACTTAAACTTGGAATGAAAATCTGGCATCGGCATCGATATTGGCATCGGCACTGGAATTTGGAGTTTTGCATCCACATCTACTTTGGCAAACCCATATTGTGTACCGCCATGAGTTTGATGGGGGGTGTTGGCCGGCATCGGCATCGGAATTTGGAGGTTTGCATCCACATCTGCTTGTTGGCAAACTCATGTCGTGTACCGTCATGAATTTGACGGGGGGGTGTTGGAAAATATTAGTATTTAGGTTTATTTTAGTATTTGAGTTTTGCTTGTTAGTTTAGGATTTGGGCTTAGCCCATCCAAGTTAGGGTTTCGTAGGTTTAGTTCTCTATAAATATTGCTTGTAATTTAGTTTGAGAAAAAAACTAGTCACAATGTAGCCTCTTAGGGTTTTGTAGCTGTTTCGGCATTCTTAGTTTGTTTAATAATATTCTTATTTTGTTAGTTTTGTTCATCGCGCACTCTGATATTCAACTTATCTAACAGATTAAAACAGTGTTTGTTAGGATCCGCGCAGAAGTCCTTGCGAGGGTGCCCATGAAATCGCTGTTCTGTGTGCCAAGTGTCTCTAAGATCCCGTCTTTAGCCGCCATGCATTTCCAAAACAAGAACCAAAAGCAGTTGATGGACCTCCCCGAAGGATGCCTCCTCGAAACCCTTTCGAGAATGCCCACAAAATCACTATTCCGTGCGTCATGTGTGTCTAAGACCTTGTGCGACCTAGTCCAGCGCCCGTTTTATGCTGCCATGCATGCGCAAAATGCTGCTACTACCATCGTTGAAGAGCCTCAAGTTGTGGTTCTTACCCATTCTAACGGTCTTTATAGGTTGATTACCTTGCCAATCAAGGCTAATAACTAGAAGGCAATGGTCTTTCTTTCTGGCTTTTCGTCAGCAAGCCAAGGTGACGACGAATTTGCTTCTGAAATCTTGACTTCCATTCGACCTTGAAGCGAGCTAATGTTTTTCTTGTTGCGGTTTGTTTTGTTTAGTCAATCCGCTTACAGGGGACTCTAACTGTTCCAGCTCCGCTGCCATGTAAAGTAGATGATGAAGAGCTCAAGCATGAGTGGTATGGTATGGGATTCGATCCCATTATATATTATCACCCACAAGATTGTATGTGTATCTCGATGAAGATTGAAATCAAAATCTGAATCTGAACCAGAACTGGACCGCCTTGTGACGCAAATTTATGTGTTGGGGTTGACAAGGAGAGAGATACCCTCAATTCCTCCTTGTCACAGTAAGAGTTGTGTATCTGCATATGGAAACGTGCATGGCTGCTTGGTTTCTCTTCTGAACATGACATGCATATATACAAAAACTTCATCCTTTATTTTGACTTCCGAAACGAACTCCTCATCCTCCCAACTTGCCAAACTGCGAAGATAGTATTCTTCACTTGATCAATTTGAGCGGACCTTCGGCCACCGTTGATGTTTCTTCAATAACAAATGATAACCGATATGATATATGGGTGTTGAAAAATTAGTATGATGATACGAAGAGACTCTTGTGGGAAAAAGAGTACAACATGTAAAGGGACACCTCACTCTTAGATATTTTCTGTTATGTAACAGCTGTCAATTAGTCACATGTGTTTTGTTGTTAATCACACTGTTAGTGATTAATTTGGGGTCATTAGTAACTAAGCTTATTTGGCAAAGTGTATATAAACTCTCATGTATTACTTCCTGATTAAGAAATGAAATATACAGAAAGTATTCTTTCTATCTTGGTATCACTCGCCTCTCTGCTTCACCGCCTCTCGATCCTCTCACCTCCTTTCTGAGCGATTCACGATCTCTCTCTCAATCTTCAAGCTCTCTCTTGATTCTGCAACCATGGCGTCGTCCACTTCTTCTCCTGATATTGTTCCTCCGAATCCTGCACCGACTGAGTTCGTCGCCCCCAATTTCTCTGCGATGAACCCTAATTTCTCAAATTCGTCAATTTCTTCGATCACGATCCAGAATATCAGCTGTATGGTGCCTACGAAGCTGAAACGTGACAATTACCTAGTTTGGAAAACTCTCTTTGCTCCTATCTTCCGGCACTATAAACTCACTGGCATCGTTGATGGCTTTGAGCCTTGTCCACCGCCTTATCTTTTTGATGTGATTTTGATGTGATTGGTCGTTCTACCAGCACTCTTAATCCTGCCTATGAAGCCTGGTATGAGAAGGATCAAAACATATTGATTTGGCTTAATTCTACTCTCTCTGAAGAAATTATTCCCTTTACTGTTGGTGTGACTTCATCACGAGATCTCTGGCTTACTCTTGAGAATCGATTCGGGGGAGTATCTGCGGCTCATATTCATCAACTTCGATCTCGTTTACATTCTATTGCTAAAGGTGATCTCTCGATCTCTGAATATCTGCAGCGCATCAAAGGTATTTCTGATGCTTTAATGGCGGTTGGTTCACCAGTTTCTGATCATGACCTAGTTGATGTCACTCTCAATGGCTTATCTGATGAATATGAATCTTTCATTGATTCTATTATGTTACACATTTCCTCAACTACTCTAGATGAACTTCATGGTCTATTGATTAACAAGGAATTATTCATGAATCGCAAAAAGAAAGGCATTGTCTCTTCCGCTCAAAAACCTTTTCAGGCCTTTGTTGCTCAATCTCAGGGTCCTCTCCTTCCTATACCACTTTCTTTTCCACAAGCTTATGCAGTGCAGTTTAATACTCCTCCCAGATTTCAGAATCATCGTGGAAAATGATCATTTCAGCGTAACTATCATGGTAACTCTTCTAAGTCATTCAACAACTTTCGTGGTAATTTTCATAATCCTAGCAATGGCTCTGGCTCTTTTCGCAATAACTCTGGTAATCGCTCTTAATCTGGTGGATTTTCTCGCAATAACAACTATTATGGTGGTAAAAATCCTTGCCAAATTTGTCATTCCTTTGAGCTTGAAGCCCTTGATTGTTATGAAAGGATGAATCATGCCTTTGCTGGAAAAATACCTCCTGCCAAGTTAGCTGCTATGTGTGCGCACACTACATCTAAAACTACCTCTCCTACTTGGCTTATTGACTCTGGAGCTACATCCCATATCACCACTAATATCTCTGATATTCATTCTCCTATTCCCTATTATGGAGAAGAGAAGGTGTATATTGGTGATGGGCAAGGTATGTCTATTCATCATTCTGGACATTCTGTGCTTAAAACACCATCAGCTACATTTCGTTTGAATAATGTTCTACATGTTCCCATGATGAAGTTCAATCTTCTCTCTGCTTATCAGTTTTTAAAAGATAACAAGTGTGCTTTAACTCTTGATTCTGATGGTTCTCTAATCAAGGATCGCTCTACGGGGAGGATGCTTTTTCAAGGACCAGTTAAAGATGGTTTCTACCCTCTCCAAGGCATTCCCTCCACCTCTCCACACTCAGCATTTTTCAGTACTAAGGCTACACTCCAGACATGGCATAGGAGGCTTGGGCATCCTTCTACAACAATGTTTAGGAAGATTTTAAATAAAGCTTCCCTTCCTTCCAGTGGTGACAAATATGTAAATTTCTTTTGCACAGATTGTGCTATAGGCAAAAATCACAAGTTACCATTTTCTTCTAGTACTAGTGTTGTATCTGGTAGTCTTGAGTTGATTCACTGTGATGTTTGGGGGCCAGCTCCAATGCTTTCTGTTAGTGGTTACAAGTGCTATGTGCTCTTTGTAGATGAGTTTACTAAATACACTTGGTTGTTTCCTCTGAAAGCAAAATTTGAGGTTTTCTCTGTATTTGTCAGTTTCAAAGCATATGTTGAAAATATGGTTGGAAATAAAATAAAAACTTTCCGATCAGATTTTGGTGGTGAATTCACATGTTTTGCATTCAATTATTTTCTTGTTTAGCATGGTATTTCTCACCAATACAGTTGTCCTCACACTCCTGAGCAAAATGGGTGCGTTGAGCGTAAACATCGCCATATCACAGAAACTGCAAGAACTCTTTTAGTAGCTTCAAGTGTTCCTCACAGATACTGGGTTGAAGCTTTCTCTACGGCCTTGTATCTCATTAATAAATTGCCCTTATCAAATTTGGACAAATCTCCTTGGGAGTTACTCTTCAACACGGTCCCAGATTATTCAAAGCTTAAGACTTTTGGTTGCAGTTGTTATCCACGACTCAAACCTTATGTATCATCTAAGCTTGCTGGGAAAAGTACTCTCTGTGTGTTTCTTGGTTATAGTTTGCAGCACAAGGGCTACAGGTGCTTAGATTTTCAAACACACCGTTTGTACATCTCAAGACATGTTCTTTTTAATGAAGATCATTTCCCTTTTCAGCATTCTCCAAGATCTCAGGGTAATGCACCATTGGAATTTGCATCCTCCGCTGCTTCATCCACTTTTACACTACCTTTTCCAGTTTCTCCAACAAGTTCTCCTTTGCCAGCTTCTTCATCCATGGGTAGCCCTGCTAATTCTGTGCCTATTCCAGATCACTCACCAGTATCTTTATCTCCACAATCAAATCCCTCACAAGTACCTGCTGCTTCTCCGACACCAGTTACTTCTCAGCTACCTGTTGCTTCTCAAATACCTGCTGTCTCTGCTAATACCCATCCAATGGTAACACGGTCAAAGGCTGGAATTTTTAAACCCAAGGTATTGGCTGCAACTAAGCATCCAATTGATTCAAGTAGTTTTGTTCCTACAACTTACTTACAGGCTTCCAAACATGATCATTGGATGAAAGCAATGTTTGAAAAGTTTCAAGCCTTACAAACTATTGGTACTTGGACTCTTGTACCTCCCTCTCCTCATCAGAATATTGTCGGGTGCAAATGAGTTTTTCGTATCAAACGAAAACCTGATGGTACCATTGATCGGTACAAAGCTCGCCTTGTCGCTAAGGGATTTCATCAGTAAGAATGAGTTGATTTTCAGGAAACATTCAGTCCTGTTGCAAAGCCAGTCACCATTCGAATTTTGCTAACACTTGCAGTCCAACAAAACTGGTTTCTTAATCAACTGGATATCAGTAATGCCTTTCTTCATGGCACTCTTCAGGAAGAGGTCTTCATGCAGCAACCTCCTGGTTTTATTGATTCGACACAATCATTATATGTCTGCAAGCTTAACAAGTCTCTTTATGGCTTGAAACAGGCTCCTCGGGCCTGGTATGATAAACTTTTTCAGACTCTGATCTTTCTTGCATTTGAAAACTTTAAATTTGATTGCTCTCTCTTTGTTCAACACAAACCCTCTCTGATTATCGTTCTAGTGTATGTTGATGACATCCTAGTGATTGGTCCACATTCATTAGCTTGTCAAGCATTTATTCATCAGCTCAGCAGCCAATTTCCTGTTAAAGATTTGGGCCCTCTTCATTTTTTCCTTGGTCTCGAAGTTCAAAGAACTACTGAGGGTCTCTTTTTATCTCAAGGGAAATATGCTCATGATTTGCTTGTTAAAACTCATATGGATGGTTGCAAACCATGTTCTACTCCACTTGGAATAACTAAGTTGGATCACACTGGTCCCTTACTTGATAATCTATCCGAGTACAGATTTATTGTGGGTGCTTTACAGTATCTCACTTGGACCCGACCAGATATTTCATTTGCTGTAAACCAAGTGTGTCAATTCCTTTAGTGTCCAAGAGAATCACATTTTCAAGCAATCAAACGAATTTTACGTTTTCTGAAAGGTTCAGTTCATCAAGGTCTATGGTTCAAGAAAGGTTCCTTACATCTCACAGCCCTTTCAGATGCCGATTGGGCTGGTTGCATCTTTGATAGACGATCCACCAGTGGTTATTGTGTGTATTTTATGCCTAACTTGATTAGCTGGAGTGCAAAGAAGCAACATACCGTTGCTTGATCGTCCACAGAAGCTGAATATCGTTCTCTTGCCCACACAGCTACAGAATTGACATGGATCTGCAAAATTCTTCACGATCTCAACTTCCCACTTCGACAGGTGCCTCACCTTTGGTGTGACAATGTCTCTGCCATTTCTCTGGCATCCTATCCCGTGTTTTATGCTCGAACGAAACATGTCGAGATTGATTACCATTATATAAGAGAACTTGTTTTAGCCAATTTGGTTAAAGTGCAACATGTCAGTACTCATCATCAAATTGCCGATATTCACACCAAGGCACTTCCCAAAGCCAGATTCAAGTTGTTACAGTCCAAGCTTTCTCTCGGGTCTCCTCTGTTTAGCTTGAGGGAGGGTAAAGGGACACCTCACTCTTAGATATTTTCTGTTATGTAACAGCTGTCAATTAGTCACATGTGTTTTGTTGTTAATCACACTGTTAGTGATTAATCTGGGGTCATTAGTAACTAAGCTTATTTGACAAAGTGTATATAAACTCTCATGTATTACTTCCTGATTAAGAAATGAAATATACAGAAAATATTCTTTCTATCTGCATGCACATCAAGGTGAGTCCTAGTATCGAAAAAAAGGTGCACACTCGTCTTTGTTTTGTGGGTGTACATGTTCGGCATGGTTCTGTGTCATGGGTGCTTGGGAGCATGATGTTGTTGATAATTGCAAGTGTACAATATCGTCCAAGTAATATAGTGATAAGTAGAGTGTCGTTCAAACAAGGATCGGATTAACCTAAATTTACTATTGAGATTGACTTCAAACTAAACTTAAATAAAAGATGGATTACAATGACAAATTCAAATATGCAAAGAACCCA